CCCCCGCAATAAATAATAACTGGTGCCTAATCCTATACTGTACAGGTCAGCCAAAATCAAGTAACTGACGGAAAAGCGAAAGACTATGAAGACAAAGAAATTTGTAATTTACCAAAAGAGACCTACGATTCTGGACTGGTAGGTTCCATCAAGCATGTCCTGTTTGACTCATTTCATGCTTCACATTTCGTATCTCGACATTGCTCCGATTCTAGGAGTACTAGAATTGATGTCCAAAGGTACTTTGCTCTTGAGAATATAGTTAGGATTTCACAGAGAGATAATATTACAGGAAAATATAGAGATAAAAAACAAGAAAAATACAAATTGAACGGTCATATTCTCTGCAAAACATTTCAGATCCTAGAGTGTTTGAATGAAGTCTTTTCCAGTAAAGTAGACGATTGTCAAAACTTAACTTTACCGATGATATATCTCTTAACGCAGCAGGATTCCAAGACTTCTCTTCACCAGGAGCATATAGAATTGCTGACAATACCGCCGAAAATCCAAACAAACTGCAACGCACCCGTCACCTCGACCGAAAATCTTGGTTATGACGATGATGACGAGTCAGACAGCAACAACTTCACGGTTGACAAACTCTTTTCGTTTGGTTGGCAAATAGCACAAGGAATGGTAATATATTATCAAGTACAGTTCTTTCTTACAGTTGTTTGCAAGAGTTTGGTCATTAAACAAGCGCTTAAGGAGACGTCTCAAGTCCTCATCGTATTTTATATACACAATCCATAAACAGAGCGAGAAAGCCTAACTTGCAAATGCAAAAATAATTTAAAGCAAAAATTAGGGACTGAGGTGAACTGAGCTTGCACTTGAGGTCGCCAGAACCTATGTCGGAAAAGAATGAAATGCCATGTCTGGCTGCATCGATGTTTTTCATTAAAATCGGTAGATGTAACATTCTTTCATTAGTCTGCTATTTTTACACCTTTTGCTAGAATCACCTTGCAGAGAAAGACTTTGTTCACCGTGACCTTGCAGCTCGTAATATTCTTGTTGGTCGAGACGGACGAGTAAAGGTGTCAGACTTTGGATTAATGCGAAAGATCTACGAAGACGTGTACAGTCTGAAGAAAACAAAAAACCTACCAGTTAAGTGGATGGCACCGGAATCTGTTTTGGACAGTATTTTTACAACCAAAAGCGACATGTGAGTAAAGAGTTTGACAATGCTGTGGGACATTTTTGATGCTATAAATTTTTTACCGTTGTCATAAAGGCATTTAATAGAAAAATGTTCAAAAAAGGAAAAAAATAATGATTGATTAACTAAATAAATAACGATCAACAACTAGTTTAAAAAAGAGTAGTTGAGACATGTTACCACGATAAGAAATAGTCTATGGATTTTTACAGTAAATTTCTTCCTGGTCATCCAAACAAGTCGGTAGATGCACCTCTTGCTGAAGCGTCTCGACAATTGTGCAATTGGTTGTAGCCATCTAACCACACATTTGTTTGCAGTTTTGTACCAAATTCATGACATGCAAACATGTTTTCTTTTTTGAAAGAAAAATTCATTTACATATCAGTTTCGTACCTGCAACTTTCAGAAAAAACACTATTTCTTGAGCTAAGATGATTTATGGCAATATTGTAACTTTTTCGTTCTTTGAGCGATTTCATTTTCATTAATACATTTTCATTTACTTGGTTTTTTTTTCTTTTTCTTTCTCACAAAAGTTGGTCGTATGGGATTCTTCTTTGGGAAATGGCCACCATGGGTATGTCCAAGAAAGATGAGGCTGTTATTTTGTTAGCAGTTTGCTATTTTTCATCAATTTTGATGTACCGTAACATAACGAAATTCAAGGTTTGCCACTTTGACCCTCACCTTTTGCTCTGAAATCAGGTGGTGTTCCTTACCCTACGTTGACTAATTCTGAAGTATGCAGACTTTTGAAGACTGGCTATAGGATGGAGAGGCCAGACATGTGCTCTGATGAAGTGTGAGTAGCTGAATCAAACTTTAAATCTACTCGCGTGTAACACTTAATTCGGTTAAGTTATTTACGAGGAATTGCACATCGGCTAGAGCGGAGAGTTTTGAAACAGATCTTTGAAGAGTTAGAGCTTCACCTTGTGAGTCATCTGGAAAAGCTTGTTGAGGCTTTTAGGGCAGCCACACGCTTATAACTATTGATTAAGTTGTCTTTGCATCTGAGACTTCAAATCCTTCGTCATCAATAGTTTTTACACAGACAAACTGACTCCGAAATTCATCGACATCCAGTTGCCTTAAATGTAATTTACAGAATTGCGTGAGACTTCCCTTGTTCATCCCAAAACCAGCAAACTCCCGATCAAACTTAATGGCCATTTTAAATGAATTTCCATCTGTAAATGAGTAGAGAAAGAAGAATGTCTTTTTTAAAGTTAGATCTCATTTTACCTCTGTTTTTCCAACAGATATGAACTAATGACCGAATGCTGGAGGGAGGAACCAGCTGCTCGTCCCAGCTTCCACCAGCTAATTGAAAGACTAGAACTGATCATCTCGAAAGACACTCCTTACTTCGACTTCAGCAAGCAAGATGAATCTAGGTCATATTACAATATCCTCACCTTAAGAGATGATGAAGATGGCTCATAAGCTACAGGTGACAGAAACCTACCTAGCTTCTTCAGTTAAAAATGATTAGCAAATTCATGATGCACCATGATTCAATCTATATTCCTTTGAGTTTTCCCAAGTTTTTGATGGACTTATGTATTCCAAAAAATGAAGTCAAACACACTCGACGGAAATATGTTGTTTATAGTAAACCAACTGACAGACATTGATTCTTAGTAGAAATTTCCCCGTGTAGTTATGTTTTTGCTTATTACTCAACATTAGATTAGAGAAACTGAGAAACAATTCAAATTTTCAGAACGTTTTCTCCAATAAATTCCGCGTCACCTTAATTTTTTTCTTTCGATGGCTTGTGACTGAACGACATCCAGTTTGATGAAGCATAAATGTTTCAAACTGAACTTCAGGAAAGAAAATTCCTATTAAGGAGTAGGCCCTTTTGATGAATATGTTCTAGAGGTCTCTTAGGAGAAATAGTAAGCACTTTTTTTTTCAATTAAACGATATGCATGCTTCACTTCATAGGTCGAAATGAAAAGTATCAATAGTTTAAAACAGTTTTGATTGCGACTAAGAAGTGATTTTAAAGAGGATTAGCAGGAACGACTAAGAGACCAACACATAAATAGACATAGCAGTTCTTTACCCTCGTGTATTTTTATTTATTTAATGTTTTTAATGCTTATTAAAAAGCAACTAACAATAATGTAATAGGCCGTGAACAGAGACAGCAGACAACGAGAATAAAAGCACGTGTAGTTTAATGGCGAACTGAAAACAGAACATCAAAACAAGCCTGCTAAGACTGACGGGTAGCATGCGTGACGCGTGACGGGCAACAATAAAACCGTAAAAGCGTTCACTATAAAGTGCGGTCACACTGTTTTCATGCACTATCGCATCTGTTGAATACCGCGGTATGCTTTTCTTACTTTTCCCCTTAATCATTGGAAACACTTATGGACCTCGGCATCGATTAACCTCCGCCAGCCAATCCCTTGTGATGAGCAATGAGCTAGGCAGATTGTTAACGTCAAAATTAGATATGTAATCGAGAACACTAACGCTGAAGAGCGGTCTAATATCGGCTCTGTCTTGGAGTGGTCACCACTGATTCCCTCAAGGTTACCCTTAAGACTTCACTGTTACACAGAGGGAAAACCACTACCTCGCCATATCGTCTGTTGGGGGCATACAAACTTCTGACTTTTTACTTGAAAGAACATGTTATATTCATAATTTCCCAACCTACCGCGTAAGAGAAGTGTGAAAATTCTGAATACCCTAAATTAGAATAAACAAGCTGCTTCAATATCAGCATCCATGTATCATGGAAAAACAAGAAAAATGCATCTTTTTCGCAAGTTCATTTAGGAAGTTCTGATTACCAAAGTATATCATGAACCGTGCATACTGAAAGCCAGGGAATGTCGTGAGCGGGACATGTAACAAAGGCCGGAAGTAAAAAAAAAGATCAATGAATAACAGGAAACAAGGGAGTTGAGGAAATGCAGAAAGAAGAAGCTCAAGGATGCATATGTTTAAATGTTGAGAAGATGGAATTTATAAGGATTTTATTTATCAAAATTTTAGCATCAGATGTACTATATACAAATGGCGTAAGTTCTTATTTAAGAAGAGAATACTAAAATCATTGATGTGTTCTGATTACCAGTGGACACTTTTTAGATATACAAAGCGTTGGATTCATGTAACACGTGCAGCTCCAGACCAGTCGTCATTCCAATCATTTTTCTTCCCTTTGTGTGGGAGGAAAAACTGTCATCACCAATACTCCTTTCTGGAACATCTAGCTCGACACCTCCAAAGCTGATTCCAATGATTAACTAAGTTCTCCAATATCAACCTCATTATTGGTTGGGATATGTCGTCGTATGTGTGATGTATGCAGATACAAGGCCGGCATTATATTAAGAACAATGAAAGAGCCTTTGGGGCACTGTGTCATGTCTGACTTCATCATGTTAGGGTGAATATTATTTACTCTACGACTCTTGGCATGTTTCTGATCAGGGTAGTTTTCCGACCACGCAAATTTCAATGCCTCTCCCTAATATATCCATAGTTTAGATGGAGGTAGTAGCGAAAGCAGCTATTTGCGAAACCCAATCCGAACTAAAACCAATTTTTTTTACACGTTTGATATTTCCAAAACCTTAATAAGTTTCCTCACGTGCGAAAATCAACATTTTTCATTTTACAGTCTTTTATAAGTCAACTTTAAATTTTTATAGGTGCTGTTTAACGCACAATTTGCATATAAAAGATTCCAACTTGCTTAGTCAACGCGAGGGGCAAGCATGTTTAGACGCCTTTGTCAGTGGTTGTTCCCTGAAATCTTCACTATAAAAAACAAAAGGGAGCTGTGTTGTAATCAAGAAGTTTCCAAAGCAATCCTTCTTGGAAAGTTTGTTCACGATAAGCAAAAATGACAGCTTTTCTTTCTTCTGAACTCAGCGAAGTAGAAAGGCAAGAAGCTGTAAAATTAAGGCGCTTGACATCAAAACCCAACTGACGGTGACAGTTGAGCCCGCATTTCCATCTTTATCAGCCACATTTAGCGAAGTTTCAATATCATTGTCTGAGACGGGCGCCAAAGCAACTAAAGCAGCGGTAATGTTATGGCGAGCATGCGCTACTCGGATCATTGCAGTCATCAGTAACCACAGGAGTGTCAGTACTGAGTGCCTTTGCATTGTCGTTAATATCTGCAAGTGTAAAAAAATACTCCAATGAAATATTAGTGAAAAGTTCTACATGAGTGGTTGCCATTCAATTAAATTCAAAGCACATGACGTTTAAATCATTGAACCGTTTTGAGAAAAACTGTTAGGTTGTAATCTGTCAAGAGCAAGAGGGTTTAACAGAGAGGATCAAACGAAATTTTGCATTTGCTCAGATATCCTTACAATATTCGTATTCTCTCCCCCAGCGCTCACACCCTCCTCATTTTTTCACTGTCGCTCATCCACTCAGTGCAAATTTCTTTCTCTAACCAGTCTTTCGCTTCCATTACAATCAAAGATGACGGCCATAATTTTCGCTAAGGAAATACTGAGCACTCGTTCGCCAAAATGACGCCTGCTCTGCAGACTAGGCAGTCTGTTCCACGCATTCAGCTGGTAAAAGAGACGTGTTAATATGGATGAAAGGGAAGAAGGTAGAACATTTAGTGCCCCGATTAATAACTGAGTTCCTGGGACAGGCTAATATTTTGGACGCCTTTACTTCGAAACAAGTAAATAGATCAGGTACCTGTTGCAGGTTCTTGAAATAAAACAGAGTTCGAAGGATCGAATTTTACAACGGATACAAAGAATCTGTCGCCAGATAAAACTTGAAACCTGACACAGCTTTAAACAGTTTTTGCGATCACATATCTTTACAAAAATGGGATCCAGTTTTGATCAATGTAGGACCACTCTACTGGGGTGCTTTCAAACCGCTCTTACTGAGGATCGTTCATCTGATTAACTTTTCACAATAGACCACCAAAAAAAATTGCTTTGTTGAAAATAAACAATATCTCAAAAAAGTACACTGATTTCAAAACATTTTGACGCTTCCAGATAATATTTGATTAGTTGGTCGGAGGCATTTTGTCTGGACTTGAAAACTGTGTTAAAGTTTCTTTTCTCGATTGATTTAAATTATAATTTGCTGGTACCAGATTAGTTATATATCAAAACCGTTCTCATTCAATCATAGGCTAAAGCTCTCTCAAAGCACAAATAACAAGATTAAAACCAAATGTCGAAGGCAGCGCACTTTTCAGTGTAATCGAGGGCAACTTAATGTTTTGGAGGTTTCAGAAATTTCCACATGCTCCTTTAAGACTTCAAAATCTGGCAGAGCAAATAAGCCCTTCAGTTGCTACCTTGTGAAAAGTGGTTATCAGCCTAGGCTATTGTCGTAGATTTTAACATGTCTTTAAATGGGTGTTCATGGCTCTCCAAGACGATTTGTATACTTTCGACAATCACTAGTTTCTTGTTCATACAGCGCAAGCTTTAAAAAGTAGTTGTGTTGTTATATAGGGAGGACCAACAACGATAACAACTGGATAGATTTACCAAGTTAGTGGTGCAATGTAGTTGAAGAGACTATCGGGTGACTTTTTGATTCAACGCGTGGCTATTTCTTCGCTCCGACGAAGGGCTAACGCTCGAAACGTCAGCTTTTGTAATCATTACGGTGGCCAATTTACCATTTCAACTTTGTTGATATATCCAAATTATTTCGTTACTCCCACCGACGCAGCCCCAAACAGTTTCTTTCGAAACTATCAGCCTTTATTCATTTGTATTTCTATGTTACTCATAATTTCCTCACCTTTGTTCGTCCCAGGGCGTGGGATTCCTCTCTGTTTTGATCCTCGAACGTCTTCGATCAGAGCGAACCCTAGCCTTCTTCGAAACTTGAAAAATTTTTCCTCTTTAATAAACAAGAGAATAAACTTTGTCCAGGGCACTGGAAAACTCGCCACGTAAAACAATCAGGAGTCTTAATCGTTTTGAACTTGCCATAGGCCTGAAGAGCCTTCAACGAGCCAGCTAATTGTCGAATTTACGGCCGCTTGAAAGAATCCGGCGTCCGATGCGAACTCATTGAAGGGAATGATTGTTTGAGCTCGACATAAGCCAATCAAAGCGCCCGATTACTTGTCAGCAGAGCACGGCCCCTCAAGCGTGCTGTCATGACCTCATCCCAGTCGGGCACCGTGTTTTCGGTATGAGGTAACGTGCATAAATAATTGCCTGCCGTGCCTGGGAGATGAGCTAACGATGGATGCTATCAAACGCAGCTCCCGTCAAGATTTGAAACACACTCCAAGTTAGCGTCTCAGAAGTCACGTCTACAGCGGCAATCTAGGGGCATCTGTCAGAAGATAATTCAAGGGTTGAAATAATTTTCCGCCCTTTTTCTCGATAGTCGAAAGAGCAGCAAAGGCAGGAAAGCAGAATCTTCCGTAAACTAAAGAGCACGCCTGCTTCTACCGAAGCGGAAATCACTTGAAGATGATTTCTTAACATCTTAATTCGAACACATCAACCGGCTTCTCATAATTTTCACAGCAGATAGTGAGAGGTATATGTTCCTTTATTATGTTCACTTTTAACGAATAATATATCTCTTTTCCCCTGTAAAAATAACTGGAAAACCGACCGGGAAAAATATTTGAGGTCGCTGTTGCGTTTCCTGTGTAACTAATTTACAGGTACGGCGCTGTTGCTCATAGCAACTTCTATCAATGGTTGAATGGCGTTTAATCGCGTAAACTAACGAGTATACTGTCTAAAGCGTAGCTTTGGAGTAAGAACTTTCTTATGTTATGTTTTTCAAAAAGAAAGGGAAATTCGTTATAAATCTGCCCGCTAGGATGTAAAGAAAAGACTTCTTTATCCAAAATTGTCCGAAAACTGATATTTATTCGTAAAAGGAAACACAAGGAGGCCGTTTATCTTCCACATTAAAAGTTCAGACGGCTCTTTATTGTTAGAATAATTTCTGTATCTAATTGCTCAAGACTTGTGTAATGAGAAAAATCAACTATTTTTATCGTACATGCTCGCGAGCCCGCAAATAGGGATCTTGTCGTACGAGGGTGACATGGCAAAATAAGCAGAGAGGCCATTCAGAGCCAAACAAATTCAAATCAGGCAATGTAACCCTAAGCGCGGGAAAACAGAAGTAACGAAGTCTCGACTGGGTTTTCGCTCATTTGGATTGGTAAAAGAGAAAGTGTGTTACATGCGGGTGGTCGCGGCTTGTTTTTCCCACCAGTTGCAAGACGAGGTGAAGGAAACTCACAGAGGTTCCGACTGTCGACACGCATTTGAAAACGTTCTTGTATCCTTATGGTTTTCTCTAATACCATCGATGATAGGGTCATATATAATCCACTCGAACGCATTAGCTCTCAATTTTTTATTTTCTTAGAGAAAATGTTTGAAGTTAAAGTGAATTTAATTGCGCTGTTTGCGGTGCTGCTGTGTCTTTTCTCCGCTTTTTAGCTCTGTTTTGGCTTTGAGTTTATTTGTTTAAGGTTCGTTTGTTTGTATCTTTTTTAGCCTGCTGGTGATGTATAAGTTACCAAAATGCTGTGGGTGCCAGGCAAATCATTGCTATATTCAAACATGCCTAGTCACATAATTGTGATAATAATTATAATAATAATAATAATAATAATAACAATAATGATAATAATTATAATAATAATAACAATAATGATAATAATTATAATAATAATTACAATAATAATTATAAAAATAATAATTACAATAATAATGATAATAATACATCAAACTTTATTGCTCGCACGCCATCGTTCTAAACACATCACATGACCAAATGTGCCCCAGCTATAGCTTGGGAATATCCGAGGATATTCCCCAACTTTTAAACTTTACATCCTCTGCAATAAAAGCCTTTGTTTAGAATTTGGTTCAAGATGAGAGGGCGTTTTGCTGA